TATTTTTTGTAGAGACAGTGTCTCACTATGTTGCCTAGGCTGGTCTTGAACTCTTAGGCTCAAGTGATCTGCCTGCCTCAGCCTCCCAAAGTGCTGAGATTACAGGTGTGAGCCACTGTGCCCAGCCCACATTTCAATTCTTATGCAAAACAATGCAACAGTTAAAGTGAAATGCAGTTCTACTAAAACAATAAAGTTGTATTTAATGGAAAATATTTTATACCACTTCAGTTTTTGAATTAGAACAATTAAAATTAAATCAAAATTAAAATTCAGTTCCTCTATTACACTAGCCACATTTCAAGTGCTCAGTAACCACATGTGACTAGTGGCTACTTTATTGGACAGCACATATCTAGAACATTTTCATCATTGCAGAAAGTTCTGTTGATAGTGCTGAACAAGAAGCTTAAGCAGATTTAGGTTCCATTTTTTAAGTCACAGCATATCATAGGTATTGCTGTGTACTTCCTATTGCACTATTTTATGTCCAGTTGTTCTATTTTTCATGATGCTAAGATTACTGAGTGGGTCCAAATGTGCTTCTGGAAATGTTTAAAGAAAGGAGAAAAGAAGATTTTGATGCTCTTTATTTAGGATGGACTAGGGGGCAGGGAATGATCCCCAAAGTTGGATCAGAGGCATTTTAGCCATTTAAGAATCATCAGGAGCCGGGCGCAATGGCTCACACCTGTAATCGCAACACTTTGGGGGCTGAGGTGGGCGGATTGCTTGAGGTCAGGAGTTCCAGCTTGGCCAATATGGTGAAACCCCATTTCTGCTAAAAATACAAAAATTAGCTGGGCGTGGTGGTGCATGCACCTGTAACCCCAGCTACTCGGGAGACGGAGGCATGAGAATCAGTTGAACCTGGGAGGCAGAGGTTGCAGTGAGCTGAGATCACATCACTGCGCTCCAGCCTGGGCAACAGAATGAGACTGTCTCAAAAAAAAAAGAAAAGAAAAGAAAAGAAAAGAATAATCTGCAATACTCAGTATGCTGTAGTGGTTGACAGCTGTTCCGCCTGGGTTTGAATCCTGACTCTATTTACTAGCTATGGGACTGTGGGCAAGTTGCTTAACCTCTCTGAGCCTTTGTTTATTTAAGTGTGAAATAGAAAAGTGATAGTCCTTAGATCATAGGACATTGTGATGATGAAATGAGAAAATGTGCATAAGGCATGTAACATAGAGTACGTGTTCAATGAATATTAACTACTATTATTATGTTGTCATAGTAAAAATACAGGTTTTAAGGCCTCACTGCTGGAGAATCTAATTTGTTAAAGTCTATGGTGGGATCTGGAAATCTGCATTTTAAAACAAGTTCTCCAAGTGATCCAAAGGTCCTGGATCCCTTGGCCTAGAACCCTTCCTGAGATCTTTCCCTTTGGGCCCTTGGCTTTATTTCAGCCCCAGCGGAGCACATGCTGGCTGGATACCCCAGCTTCTGTCAGAGGATTGTAAACCAAAAATTAAATTCTAAGCCCCCCAACTGAATAGACGCCTCTCTCAGCCAACGGGATTCCAAAGTAAACCTGAAAAACTTTCAGGCCATGATGGGAAGAGGGGTTGGACATGCCTCATTATACCCTCCACCCATTGAAATTCGGGCACAAGTGACCAACATTAATATAAAAACAGTGAACTTAAGACTAACAAAACAGACTCTTTGCAGCAATAAGATAACAAATTCCAGCCTGACTCTACTATAACATCACATGACAAATAGCAGGCCCTGAAATAAATAGAAGTATTTTACCCTAATAAATCTTTTGACATATTTTGAAGTGGCCCTGCAAAGCTGACTCTTCTGGGAAAAATCTATGTTCTCTGGAGAATCTCTGTTCCTTTCCATGTCTTTTTCTGATCCTGAAGAAATTAGCTGAGAGTCTAGCACCTTTTGAGAATGTGAATAGTAAACATTTGCCATCTACTGCCTCCAAGGGCAGCCACCTGTGAGACTTCGTCTACATAATAAAAACTTTGGTCTCCATAACCCTTGTCTTAACTCAGACACTCTTTTCTATTGATTCTTTTGATAATAACCAATTGCCAATCATAAAATCCATCTATGACCTAGAAGCCCTCCCAACTCCCTATCCTCACCTTCAAGTTTTTCCATTTTTCCAGACGGAACTAATGTACACCTTACATTTATTGATTGATTCAGCCTGTAACTTCTGTCCCCCTAAAATGTATAAAATCAAGCTGTTACCCAACTACCTTGGGCACATGTTCTGAGGACCTTCTGGGACTGTGTCACGGGTCTTGGGCACTCGTATTTGGCTCAGAATAAACATCTTTAAATATTTTACAGAGTTTGACTCTTTTTGTTGGCAGAATAAACAAGCCCAAGTAGGGTTACCAGATTTAGCAAGTAAAAACCTATTTTATCTGGCAAGCCGAAATCTCAGGGGAGATTTTTTTTGCTCTGTCACATCAACTATAGGATGCAAGAATGTAGAGTGTGAAAAAGTAGTATCAAGCATCAAAAGTAGTATTCTAGAGTCTTTAGAGATTAATATAATTAATGGGGTCTTCTGCTTAAGTTAGGGGCCATACTTGGATTCTCTTGAACCCCATAAAGGGGCCATCTTTTATAAAATTAAAGAAAGGGGGCTTTTGGGGCTGTCTTGGCCAATCTGCTTTTTTTGTATGTAATGAAACCAGGTCCTGCCTGGAGAAGGGAAATGAGTTGTCTAAGGTCAGTGGCAAGGCTGGAATGGAACCTAGGTCTTTAGTTTCTGGCACAGCATTTGTTCCTCTTTGTCATCTGCCTTAGTTCATTCAGATTCTGGCATTCTGTCTCTGCCCCCCAGCCCAATTAATGTCCTTCTCAAATGTAAAATACATTCCTTCCATTCCAATAGTCCCAAAAGTCTTAATTCCAACATCAACTCCAAAGTTTAAAGTCCAAAGTCTCATCTAAATATCTAAATCAGATGTGGGTGAGACTCAAGGTGTGATTCATTCTGAGGCAAGCTGCTCTCCAGCTGTGAACCAATGACATCAAACATGTCGTATACAAAATATGATGGTGGGACAGGCAGAGGATACACATTCCCATTCTAGAAGGAAGAATGGGAAAGAATAAAGGAGTGACAGGCTCTGAGCCAGTACAAAACATTGAGAATAATCTTTGGCTCAATGCTCTGCCCTCCAGGCCCACAGGAGTGGAATGGAGGTCTTGCCCCTGCAGCTTTGGGCAACCCTACCCATAAGGCTTTGCTCTCCAAGCATTGACCCCCACCCAAAAGGCAGTCCTCTGCCCAGGGGCCCACCAGCTCCCTTAAGGCATCTTTTGAAATCCAGGAGAAGGCAGCCACACATCCACCAGCTTTGCTTGGCACAGAGCATGCCACACTGTTGCCCTCCAGGAGCCACACCTGGTATGTCTGAGGAGTGTGGCAACAGAGTTTGGAGAACAAAGCCCACAATGTGAGACAGCACTGGGCAGTGGAGGCTCCTCCTTTGATATCATTCTGCCTCTAGGCTCTGGCACTATGAACCTGTGATGGGAGGGACACCCCTCTTTTCACCCCCATGATCTCTGAAATGACTTCAGGGTCATTCTTCCATTGTCTTGAACAATAGGTCCTGGCTTCTATTTAGATGGCTGACTAATCCCCCTATTGTCTTGATGAATAGCACCTGGCTTCCCTGGGAGTCATATTAATCTTTTTATCAAATGGTTGCTTGGTCACACCTTTGTTCTTTCCCAAACAGAGTTTCTTAGTTTTTCCAATATGAGGAGACTGAGAATTTTTCATACTTTTAAGCTTTCTTCCCTTTGAGTAACAATTTTGTCTTTAAACCATTTCTTTTCACATTTTACTGTGAAAGTAGTCAAGAGGAACCAGGACACTCTTTCAACACTTTGCTTAGAAATTTCCTCAGCCAAATATTCCATTTTTATTGCTTACAAGTTCTACCTTCTACAAAACACTAGAGCACACACACAATTCAGCCACATTCTCTGCTACTTTATAAGAAGGATGTGCTTTCCCTCATTGACCAGAGCAGTAACATGTTCCTCATATCCATCTGAGACATTATCAGAATGGCCTTTCCATCTGTATTTCTACAGATATTTTGTTGATGACCACTTAGGTATTCTCTAAGAAGATTGAGAATCTCCTCTCTTTGTGATCCCTCACCAGAACCACCCTTACAGTCCATTCCTTCGTGGCAATGTAGGCTTTTTCTAGTTGGCACCCCCAACCTCTTCCAGCCTCTACTTGTTAGCTGATTCCAAAACAGCTTCCACATTTTTAGGTATCTGTTACAGTAGCACTCCATACTTGGTACCAATTTCCTCTCGCAGTTCATTCAGGCTGCTGTATAACACAATAACCATAAACTGGGTGGCTGACAAACAACATAAATTTATTTCTCACAGTCCTGGAATCTGGGAAGTCTAAGATCAAGATGAAGGTTCACTTCCTCATAGATGGCTGTCTTTTGACTGTAACTTCACATAGTGCAAGGGGAAAGTAAGCCCTCTGGGGTCTCTTTTATAAGGGCACTAATCTCATTTGTGAGGGCTCTGACTTCATGACTTAATTACTTCCCAAAGGCCCTATCTCCTAATACCATCACCTTGGGGGTTGGAATTTCAAAATATGAATTTGGAGGAGCACAAACATTCCGGCTAAAGAATCTGCTTGTTTTTGTCCCCTGCCATCTCAGGCATATTGGGGGGAGAGGGCAACCTTCAGGGTGACTGAGACCAGGGCCTAGAGTGGGAGCAGAGGCCTTTCTGACAACATCTCCAGAGTGATTCCTGCCCTTGTGATCCAAAAGAAAACAAAGCAAATAGAAGCAAAGTCAGTCCCTGGCACTGGTCAGACAGACAAAGCCCCAGACATAAGCAAGGGGGATTCTGCCATACGAGGTCCCTGGGGGATCAGGATCAGGGCTTGCATCCATCAGCCCAGCCTCATGACATGCAGAGCTGACTGGGCCTGAGCCTCCCCTCCCCCCGCTGGTGTTTTACAGAGTGTCTGGAGGAGAGCTCTTCGATTTCCTGGCCCAGAAGGAGTCACTGAGTGAGGAGGAGGCCACCAGCTTCATTAAGCAGATCCTGGATGGGGTGAACTACCTTCACACAAAGAAAATTGCTCACTTTGATCTCAAGGTCAGTAAGGGGAGAAAGAGAAAAGAATCAAGTCTACGAAGAAGAGGCTTAGTCCCTCCTGGTGTCTTTCCCAGGATGGGCCCAGTGCCCACCAGCGCTCCTTTCTCATCTTACAGTGAAAAACCCTGAGCTCCTGGGAAAGAGATGATGCTACAGAAATGTCCACCTTCTCAGTTTCATTTCTCATAACAGGTTTTCTGCACACAGGAGCTGACTGCAAGAAGCTCCTTAAATCAGACTTCAGGCACCTTATTTATTTCAGGTAGCGGTGTAACGCCTTCTAAATAAGTAGACCAGTGACAGGAAACTTAAAACCAAACACCTTTCACAAGACTGAACTTTTTGATAACAAAGAACTAGAAGTGTTTGGAGGATTGCTGAAGTTGGCTGACTCACCAGACCCTTTCACAGTGCAGCCTCCATCATCCCTTGACCAGAGCTTGTAAATCCCAGAGCCCAGGGACCGCTGGCTGCCCTCCCGCACTCACCACCCCCACTCTGCTCCAAACTGTGGCCATAAAACTGCTTCTAGGGATCACTGATCTTTTGTGGTAACTGGTATTCAGGATTGAGAAAGTTCACTGTGACCGCATAGGACTTTATAAAGCAAGAATGTGGTCAAAGTAGAAGGACAGTTCCCTTAGTAACTGAGCTCAGTTGCATAGACTGATGAACCTATATAGATACTTATGTGTAAATGTCCTCTAACTTGTGATCAATTCTATGACCTGTTTGCTGGGGAGATCCCTTCATTTTTCTATCCAGAAATCCCTGTGGTCTTTCAAGCATGGTGCTGGGTGCCTGGGTATTGCTGCAGATACAAAATTCACTGAGGCCCTGTCTGAGATTACTTCCTCTTTTCCAGGGACCTTGGTGTAAGAGACAGAAAAACCAGCAACTCTAAGTACTATGCTAGAAGGAAGCCCAGAGTGGGTGGGGAGGCTAAAGGAGGGGACATCTAAGTCCAACCAGGGTATCAGAGAGGACTCCCTGGAAGAAGTGCTATTTACTTGAGTTCTGAAGGATTGGCAGGAATTAGAAGAAGGGAAGGGCCTTCTAAGGAAGAAAGGCCAACAGAATACATGGTCACAAAACAGCGCAGTGCATTCAGGGAAGTGCAGGCACAGGAAGTGTGTGCTGAGTGTCTGGGAAAGAAGCCGGGAAGAGTGCAGGAGGCAGACACAAGAATCTGGGAGCTAAGCCAAGGAGCTTGCACTTTACCCTGAGAGATAAGGGTTCCAGTGAGCAGAGAAGTGAGGTGAGCATGGACATGTTTCAGAATGATCCCTCTGGCTGGGAGAACGGACAGACTGGAGACAGCCTGGAGGCTGGGGCTCAGCTAAGAGGCTAATGCAATAATCTAGGTAAGATGTGAGGAGGGAACAGAGTCAAAATCTTTCGCAGAGGTCAATCTGAGGATTGATTAGGTGCCTAATTAGAGGTAGAGATGAAGGAGGGGACAGAGTTCTGGATGACACCCAAGTTCTGGCTTGTGCCCCTGGCCCAGAGAGGGTCTGGCATGTCCATTGTCTCACAGTGGCTATGCCAGGGCATGGGCTCAGTTCCTATATGAGTCCCTACCCCGCTCTTACTCTACTCTGCCTGATGGGGTGACCTTCTATGAGTCCCCTTAGCATGGTCCCCCTTCCTTATGCTGATTGTCACTTTTTTTTTTTTAAATAGAGGCAGTCTTGCTCTGTCACCCAGCTGGAGCACAGTGGCGTGATCACAGCTCACTGCAGCCTCGACTTCCTGGGCTCAATCTATCCGCCTGCCTTAGCCTCCTGAATAGCTGGGACTAAAGGCATGTACCACCATACCTGGCTAATTTTTGTATTTTTTGTAGAGGCAGGGTCTTGCCATGTTGCCCAGGCTGGTCCTGAGCTCCTGGGCTCAAGTGGTCCACCCACCTCAGCCTCTCAGAAGTGTTGGGATTAAGGCATGAGCCACTGCATCTGGCCATGATTGTCACAGTTTTGTTTTTTTTTTTTTGGTGGCGGGGAGACAGGATCTCACTCTGTCGCCCAGGCTGGAGTGCAGTGGTGCGATCTCAGCTCACTGCAGACTTGACCTCCCAGGCTCAGGTGATCCTCCCACCTCAGCCTCCCAAGTTGCTGGGACTACAGGAACACGCCACCATGGCCGGCTAAATTTTGTATTTTTCGTAGAAATGGGTTTTCGCCATTTTGCACAGGCTGGTCTGGAACTCCTAGGCTCAAGCAATCTGCCCACCTCAGCCTCCCAAAGTGTTGGGACTACAGGCATGAGCCACTGCTCCTGGCTGTCACAGTATTTTTTAATACCTCCAACAGAAGTCTTCCAGAGTTTTACTGAGGCGTCACGGGTAAAAATTGGGGTCACCGAGGATGGTAAGGCCTGGGCAGGCCTTTGGACCTCAGGGTGGTAATAGCAGGAAATGGTCTTCCTTGATTGCACCTGTGTGGCCTTCCTGGTACTGCTATGGACAATTGACTTGTTGTTTTCTTGTGTCTTTGCTGGCTCCAGACCAGTTTCAAAATGGGCTCCTTTGTCTTTTCGCGAATGGGTCTGGTAGGAGGAGTGGCTGGAGCCCAGCAGGCACCAATGACCGCAGCAGGTTCGTGATGTTTGGCTTGCCTTTATGGCAGCTCGCTGTGGTGGGGAGAGTTAGCTAGGCTTGGAGTTAGCCAGGCTGGGTTATCATGTACCATGATACACCTGAACCTCAGCTTTTCAACTTCAGTGCAAATAATAATATCTACCTGGCAGTGTTGTAAGTGTTAGAGAAAAGAAGCATTAAGTGCCAAATATGGAATAGGTGCTCTGTAATAGTAGCTGTTATTGTTATTCCCTTCTCAGAATAGAGGAAAAAAGGAAATAGAACTTTTGTTACAGTGTTTTGGGCCCCATAGACTAGGAAAACAAACCCTGCGAGTACAGTTCTGTTAATAAATTGCCCAGCAGACAGCTGAGTTGGTTGCTAGGTAGAACTGCTGGCGAGGGCTGGTAAGGCTCTGAGCCTAACCTGGACATTTTCCATGACCTGGAAACGGTCTGGGTTTTCCCTGGATGCATGTGAGTTGAGGATGCTGCTAGTCCCCACCATAGCCAGGTATCCTTAGAGTTGTGAGGACTTGAGCTTTCTGATTCTTCCACCCATGGGTCCCTTGGCCTAGGCCCACCTGGGCAACTTCAGGAAGTGATGAGTAGCTGAAACTCAGAAGGATTACCTCATGATTAGGTAGATGTTTCCTGGAGCCAGAATGTGGGTATGCGTGCCTCCTGGCTGGAACATTCTGTCAACTGGAGGGGATCATGCAATTAAGATCCAGCTGGTAGCTTAGAGGAGGCCTCTTGGTTCTGTGTTGTTTCCCACCATATAAAATCCACATTTTTCTTCCTGATTTTCATTCTCCATGATGGACTTTCACTTTCCTCTCCTGCTTATATTCTGTTACTCCTCGCCAAGCTCAGGGTCCTTACTGCCCAAGGAACACAGCCAGCATGTTGTCTCCACACCCTTACCCATAACCTGTTCTCCATGCACTCCTTCCAGCTTGAAGGGGCAGGTAGTGGAAGAGGGTTCACTCTCTTGCCTGCCTTTGGAATGTGAACAACCTCTCTTCAACTGGTATTTGATCAGCTCCTCCTATGTTCAGCCCTTGTCAGGCTCTGTCCCTGCTCACCACATGCCCCTAGCCTGGTTGCAGGGAGCAGACAAGTGGACAATTTTTTTTTTTTTTCTTTTCGAGATAGGGTCTTGCTCTGTCCCCCAGGCTGGAGTGCAGTGGCACAATCTTGTCTCCCTGCATCCTCCACCTCCTGGGTTCAAGTGATTCTCCTGCCTTAGCCTCCTGAGTAGCTAGGAGGACAGGCCCCCGCCACCATGCCCAGCTAATTTTTGTATTTTTAGTAGAGACAGGGTTTCACCATGTTGGCCAGGCTGGTCATGAACTGTTGACCTCAGGTGATCCCTGCCGACCCCACCTTGGTCTCCCAAAGTGCTGGGATTATAGGCATGAGCCACCATGGCCAGCCCAAATGGACAAATTAATATGAGATAAGCAGTATTGGTAAAAACAGGAGACAGAGCACGATGACCAAATAGAAACCTTCACTGATCATCCTCCCTGTAAGAACACCAAATTGAACAGCTATCCACGCACAAAAAAGCACCTTTATGAGAACCAAAAATCAGGTGAGTGGTCACAGTACCTGGTTTTATTCATTATTTTATTTTATTTTATTTTATTATTTTTTTGAGACCAAGTCTCGTGCTATTGCCCAGGCTGGAGTGCAGTGGCATGATCTCGGTTCCCTGCAAACTCCGCCTCCTGGGTTCACACCATTCTCCTGCCTCAGCCTCCTGAGCAGCTGGGACTACAGGCGCCTGCCACCATGCCCAGCAAATTTTTTTGTATTTTTAGTAGAGATGGGGTTTCACTGTGTTAGCCAGGATGGTCTTGATCTCCTGACCTCATGATCCACCCGCCTCGGCCTCCCAAAGTGCTGGGATTACAGGCATGAGCCACCGTGCCCAGCTCACAGTACCTGGTTTTAATTTCATATCACAGAAAGAGGCACTGAAGAGGGTAGGAAAGACAGTCTTGAATCATCTACACCACCCTTTCCCCATCCTCTGGCAGCAGCCGTGTTGCATGGAGAAAGAACCTGTGCATTTGGGGGAGGGAGAGTGCAGCAATTGTGGGACTTTGCATTGAAAGTCAGTGCTATCCTGTCACAGCAGAAAGCAATACCAGGCAGAACCCAGCTGGTACCCATGGAAGGAGCATTTAGACTAGCCCTAGACAGAGGAGAATCACTTATCCCAGTGGTCAGAACCTGAGTTCCAGCAAGCCTCACCACTGCAGACTAAAGTGCTCTGGGTTTCTAAGTAAACTCGAAAGGAAGTTTAGGCCACAAGGACTGCAATTCCTGGACAAGTCCTGGTCCTGTGCTGTGCTTGGAGCCAGTGGACTTGGAGGGTACACCTAGTAAGACATCAGCTGGGGTGGCCAAGG